AGAATGAAGGACAAACTGTGCTTAACTATGTTGTGAGCACAGCAAAGTCATTGAAGGAACAGGAATAGTTTTAAGTATGAATATCAAAGGATTGTGCAGCTGCAGACGGAGACGGAGAGCGAGGGAAGATGGGCTGTGAGTTGTTGATAAAAACCTAGAAATGCAGACGCTTTTAAGTTTCAGTCTCCCCCAAAATGCACAGTAGACTTCTGCTTTAAAAGCTCACTCCCTCTCCTATATGCTTGTCCTGTCAGAGCCCTAAACGGCTGAGGCGGAGTGTCATCTTGGATAAAGTTGTCTGTGCCGTGAATAAAGGCCAGGAATGCATTAAACACCCAAATCCTTTCAGTTTGCAAAGGGTAACCAGGCTTTGTGATGGCTAAAGTGCTCAGCTTTAAAGTGAAAAAGCGTGTTTCTCCAGAGAGTCTTGTTTTACTCGGCACCGCCACATTTAGGTGCATTTATGATTGCAGTAGCTCCGCTTTTTTTGGAGGGAATCTCATTACGTTACCTCAGCTTTGTAGAAGTTCTCCTCCCCGGTGGAAACGATGGCTGGAGCAAAGCGACGTGTGCAGGGCGGATAAAAATGGCCGGGGTCTGAACAGGTTTTGATCTTAAATCACCCCACGGAAGAAGACTTTCAAACTATCTGCAGGAGTTTGATCATTTTGGTTTACAGATTAATTGGTGTTAGAATCGGATCTGTTTCAGGTGCCAGATTTTATCAGCCTAATACCAGGCATCACAAGGCAACCAAAGCAGCTTTTCTCTTGTAAAGCATTGATTATTTGGCCATTCTGCTCCTTTGCTCTGGTGCTCTGCTCTCCTTTCCTCTGCTTTGCGTGTGGACAGAGGTGCGCTGCATGGTCAGAGGATGGTTGGCTCGGAGCCCACACGCCGAGGACAAAGCAGTTACGGAGCACGTCTATTTTTGGCCTCTTAACGGACCTGTTCCCATTCTCCTATGGAGCAGCTCTCATTGTGTGATGTTCACCTGTCTTTAACCTGATTACAGCAGCTCCTCATGGACTTGTCCATTGTTTTTTAATATAGCGCTTGGTTTTTTGAGGTTGTGAATAAAGTTTCTCCCCTGAAGTATCCTCCTGTCAGACCTCGGACCCCTCCACCTGTCATCCTCCCCTCTTTCTCCCTGGGAACAAGATAACGGAAGATGAGGAGAAATCATTTCTTTTCCTGACAAAGGGCAGATAGATATGCAGGCACTGTCTGTAACATTTTCCTTTTCTCTTCAGAGTTTGACAACCGCAGAAACTGAGCGAAACAAAGAGAGATGGATAAAGTGAGACATGTTTTAACTTTTATCACGGCAGAAAGGAGCTGTTAGAGTCTAGAGGCACATCTAAGCCTGAATTACTCCACTCTGGCTTTAAGTTTTACTTTTTTGATCGAATCGACCTTCCACACACCCTATAACAATGATAAAGGTTGATGTTCTGTCTTTAGTTTAATTGTATTTCATATTTAGCCCTCGGGATCCTTTCATTTTGTGCTCCACCTGTTTCCCTTTGATACAAAATTGTCGAGAAAATATCTGTTATATATGGTGAGAAATGGCAAAAAAAATATTGGAACAAAAAGTTGATGCCAGATAATGGTTGTCTGCTTTAAACACCTCCAATGGCAGTTTTAGCTTCTAAAGTCTCTCTTTGTTTTTGACAACAAAACCACAAAGTTGAAAGTTGATTTGGGGACCACAGCCACACCACAGATAGGTAACATACGTTAATACTTGAAACTCCTTCTCAAATGCTTTGAACTTCTTAGTTTAATAGTTGAAACAGCAAATATGCATTAATACATGCAGTGGACACAATCTTAGCAATACAGCCAACAGAAGCTGCGAGTCTGCCATTTATACAAATTGATTTCTAATGCATCAAAAATTTGCCTACTGAAAAATGTTAGCATACAATTCACAAATTTAATCCAGGAAGATGGAAATAAAAGCAGAAATAAAACAAATTGTTCACTCATATGAAGTCACTTTAAAACACTAACCTCTGAAGACACTACAACGTTCCTTTAACTTCCTTCCTACTATGTGTTTACTAAGACTACATGGGATGGTTATTTTGGTGGGTGACTGATCCTTTAACCATTGGGCATCATTTTTTAAATGTAGTTTTCTTTTGTGAGAACCAGTAAATTATAAGAAGTAACACCAAAGGTTTACAGTATTGACCACCAATTCCTGCATAATGGACTTCAAGCGCCGGTTGAAGTCCATTAATCCGTTCTGTTTTGGCAAACTTCAGCACAATGTGTCCAAAGTGTGTTAATGAAGTATGCAGCACATGATGTGGATGTGTTTTAACTTGCTGAAACTTGCCAGTCCGAGTGGCACATGTCTTCACGGCTCTGGGGAAAATGGAGCTCTGCTTGGCACAACCTGTTCACAGACACTAGAGTTCAATGAAAGTCCTTCTTTGACAACCCAGTTTATTTTCTCCTTCTTTTGTTTATTCCTTCCTCTAACACCGCCCCTCTCACTCAAGTTGGTGATCCACACTTAAAACCCACGTCTCCACACTCATGAGGCTTTCTGCCGGGGTGGACAGATAGATAAATGATTTTTGTCGGCCTTGTAAAGCAGGGGGTAATTTTTAGGTGAATGCAGTGCTTCAGAAAAGAATTGCAGCACTAAAATTAGAGGTTGTCAAATGCCGCACGTCTCCGTTGATGGCCCGGTCCGGCCCCCTTATGTTAATGTGGCATTTCAGCAAGAGGAAATAACAATTTGGAAGAGGTGGGATTGCTACTGGTGTTTGTTGGGTTGCATTGTCAAATATGAATAAGGCTTTTTTCTCACTTTTTATCAGAGGACAAATACTCTTTAGATACTTTGGATCCGTAGTGTTTTTCTTCTAAATAATTTAACTTTTAAAAAGGAGGTAAAGCTGCACAATATTAGCTCATCTTGTCTCTTAACTGTTCACTTAAAGAGACAAAACATGTAATTCTCCAAACTGTAGAGCTGATTAGCCATTACAGAGATAAAAGTAGGGCATAATGTGGCTTGCCTCCTGCGTAGAAGTGATATAATCTTATTTCTGGGTTAGATACCAGGAGAAGGAAGTCATCATATGGAAAGACTGAGACTGTCTTTGAATCCTGCAGAGCTAAGGTCATGTGACTCGTAAAAGCGTCACTCTGAAGCTATACAAGTGGACTGGAGATGACTTTAGCAGGTGTTTTTTACAGTTTCGGGATAGTTTCTGTTTCTAACAGGAAATTCCATCAGATTTATTTTCCTGTCTATTGCTTGAATCCATTCATTGGAAATTGTCTACTGGAAAAGTGTAGCTCCTTGACCTGAAATGACCCCTGTGTAACTTTAAACACCAAATATCTTTCAGAATGACAGTAAAATCTAATGCAGGTCTGGCCTGGCTTCAGGGTTTCAATAATTTCTTTGGCGGTCAGGGAGGCTCGGCTCAGGACAACTATAGTTGGCTTCGGGTTAATTTAGACGATCCTGCAGGGGAAAAGTTTCAGGATGATATCTGCTGCGTACAACATCTAACAACCTCCTTAAATCCTTCTGAGACACTGAGCCTTTTCTCTCTCAGTCCTGTCGCCTCCGATCTCTGTCTATTGATCTGATTTTTCTGGCTCTTTTCGCTCGGTGACAGTGTAATTGTGCGGTAATAGCGACTTAGCAAGTTGCTGTGTAACCCGAGTCTTTTGTCTTCTTATGTATGTCATAACTGCAGCTGTCAGTCTTCAGTGACATTTCCACATGTGGACATTCATGAAAAGCAGCAGTTCTTTGTCTTGACTCTTTTCTTCTGTTGTGGAAGGTTGTTGATCTTCCAATCAGCTGGAAATGATTTTTCATGTGTGTGTGTGTAACAGAGTGTTTCAGTAAGAAGAGGTTTATTAGTTTTATCAGAGCTGTCTGGTCTTATTATTTTCCATCTCACTCAGATTTCTGAGGAGAAAAGCAGTGGTCTTAACCCTTAGAGTTGCTGTGGTAGAGATGCACAGTATATGAAATTACATTGCAATTGTAAAGGAAGTGCTTGGGTGCAATACAATAAGCTAAATAATTTATATATATTGTTTTTCTCAAAAGTCTTCAGTCTGGTGCTTTGGTCACAACTAGCTCCTTTTTTGAATGGCATTTTGTTTACAGAGACTTAATAATTCATTCTATTTATAGTTTAATATCGTCCAGCTGTGTTAAATGTTCATTAGAATGTAAAGTTTATTGATATCTGTGAATGTGTTCTTAGATTATTATACCATCATTACCATTATTGTACCTGAAAATGGTATCGTTTATCACAATAACTTCTGGGACAATTTATCGTCCAACATCATTTGTTGTTACATTGTGACAGACATACTATTATGTTTATTGCCATGTTGACATTATCTTTCTTATAAAGAATCAGCTTAACCAGCTGATTGGACTTTCACTTCTTTACTCCCTTCAAGCAGGAACGTAGATTAGTCCCCAGTTATTTAAATGCTTCAGAACCACAAATTTGTACTTTTGATGCATTCTGAGGTAATCTTGTAATTACCTCATTCTGTGTTGTATTCAAAACAATCACCTCGGTTAAAGATGGTTCAGTGTAAAAAAATTCAGCACGTCTGACCTCTTAGAAAGCAGGAAATTGCAATTAGTCATGACAAATCTGATTGGTGCATCTCTGATGGAAAGAAAAGGGAAGATTAGGCGAAATGTCAGTGAATTGCTGCCAATATTGTCATGGTAACGTTCACTACTGGTGAAATTGTGCATGTTTTACTAATGGTGCCATCCTTATCTGTAACATCTTTAAAACGTGTAAGCCTAGTCTGTGCTTCAGTGTATTTACCTTAGATTTCTGTTTATCATGAGTTCACCTATCACTTTAGGTTTTTGCACACCAGTCAAGTGAATATGGCAGCATTTTTACTTTACGTAAATAAAACCAAAACCGTGTAATTGCCCTGTTAGTAATCTTCATTCCTTTTTAATTGTGTTTCAGAGATCAACAGAGTGCGTAAAGATATGTACAGCGACACAGTGAACGGCCTTGTGGACAGACACCCGCTGGAGCTGCCCGAACCCATCGGACCCATCGTTCACTTGCAGGAGAAACTGTTTGTGCCTGTCAAAGAGTACCCAGACGTAAGTTCAGCATCTCTGAGCCTCTTTTTGTTCTTCTCAATGTTAAAACTTTGAAACAAATGATCAAATTTGTTTCATATCAGAATATTACATTTATATTTATAGTTACTTTGATGTGTGTCTTCTAGTGTAACACTGGGAGTCAAAAAATTGATATTAGTTGGTTCTAATAGCTGGTAGAGCCTGTAGTTTGATGCTGTTTGCTTGTCTGTTCTTTAATACTAAAACCTGAGATACTGAAGCTGATGGAGTTATACCATCATCACAGTTTTGCTCAAGTGTCACAACTACATAATATCTTTTTCATGCGGCTTTATTCTTTGTTTGAATATCGAACATGAAAGCAAATGACTTTTTGTGTGGAGCCATGTTTCTCTTTAACCTTAAATTCATAAAAACAAAGTAAGTTGGCCTTAAATAAGTTAATTGAGGGTCTTAAGTTTTGTATATGTTTTTTTTTTCCTCACTTGACTTTTCTGGCAAACAAAATTTTAGTTGCGCAGACATCTTCATTACATTTTGTGACTCGAGGCAATGGAGGCTAGCTAGTTAATAATATACCCTTACTAGCTAGCTTCTTTTGCATCTATCATAAATGGATACACATTTATGTATTCATAGGTGCACTCTGTGCAAAAAATAACAGAACAACAAACAAAAAAAAAAAAAAAAAACAGAACTTTTTAATCCTGGCACTATGGGTTAAGGTTGTAGACCCATATGCAGTGAGAAGCACAAAGCCAAGACCCACAAACAGACCTCGACATTTCAGCTTTTTGTTATTCTTGATTGTAATACAGCAGATTCCTCGACCATCTCCTGTATTTATATTTTTGTTCTATCTTAAATCTCATTCAAGGTGGCATTAAAAACGTCTTAAAAGTCTCAAATTGAACTTGCTGACACCCTGTGTAAAGGTTTTCACTACATTTGTTTGTTGTTGATAATTGCCACCTGCAACGTTAACTAAGTCATTCCCACATACAGAGTGTGAATTGCAGCATCCTTATGTGGCCTTCGTTCTCACTCTGGATGCTGAGCTTCATGCAGAATTTGGGCGGTGAGTCTGCGTTGTGTTTACAAGCTGTCAAATAAGACACTAAATTAATTAGGTTTCCCCATGTTGGTCATGATGACTTCTGGAGATTCACAGCCTAAAAATGACACGGCAAAGGAACACACACATTTCTCATTCCTGTTTTAGCTCTCCTGCGTCTACATATAACCTCCCACCTTGTGAGATTTCCAAGTAAAGACGGAAAACTGTAAATGCCAGCCAGGAGCTGCCAGCCGCCGAGCTGAATTAAGTAAATCCTACTTCCTGTGAAACTAGGTTTGCATGGTGAGAAAAAAAAACCAACAATTAAAAAAACTGTAATGCAGTTAGAGCTCCTAGATATTTAGCAGATTTAAAGTCACCACAGCATCAGTGTGATTATCCCAAAGGGTTGCTCGGATGCTTTTTGTCTCATACTTTCTAAGTGTCAGGAAGGTTTAGCTTGTTCTCTCGGTTAGTTTCCCTCACTTGACACAGACGACGGCGCTCCAGATACTAAAGGTCACAGAGAGAGTATGAAGTGTTGATGACAGATGAGAAACAGAGGAGTGGACAAAAGCTGCTTTTATATCATAATATTTAACTACATCACCACGGCTGGGAATCAGGATTCGATTATGATTTAATAAGCTTCGATGTTATAATAAATTGATTATTGATGATCACCCACCCACCTTGCTTTATAAAGAAGTAACAATTACTCTTAAATGTACATATTGTAGCAAATGTTTGTTTTAGCTGTAATTTTTGTCATAATTGCATTGAATTTCCACAAAAGAATGACACAAAATAACCAGTAATATTTTCTAGGTCTAATATCTACAGCAAGTTTTTTTTTTACATCTTCCAAAAATATCAACATCCCATAGAAGTAAATTCATCTGGTTTTTAGAAAGGTTTTGTGTTTTTCTTTATTTTAAAATCTAAAAATAGTTACATACATACATGTGCATTTAAAAAAAAAAGACAACAAATTTCCTGTAGTAGATATTTTATATTTTTCAAAAGGTCAGGGAACTTTTGCTACTCTAAACGAGGCTTATTTAACTGGACTAAGGACAAACGTGGCTCTTTAGCTTGTAAAGGTTGCAGACCGCTGCCGTACACCAGCAAACATAATCTGAGATAAAATATTTTAGACAAAAAAAAAATCACAGAATAAGCATCAGAAACATCCGTACCACCAGCGGTCTCTGCACATTCCAGACTAAATCTGAATTTATACACAATGAGTCTAAGATAACCTCCTCATCTGTGACTAAAAACAAAAATCCTTCTTGGCAACCTGCTGCTACTATGCTACATTCTTATACAGCTCATTTATATTTAGAGCTATCTGACTCTCATTCACCGCTCTCACACCTTCTGCTTTCCTTCAAATAAGGTCATAGTTTAACTTTAATATAACGTTTAATTTAGTCTGACTTGTCCACATCTGCATCTTGATGCGTTGAAAAATCGATTCCGTCCTCCACCTCCAACCAGCACATCACCTCCTAATATTGTGCAACATTCATGGTTTTCACCTCAAATATATATGTTGCTAGTTGGATCAACTCTTAGCTGCTTGAGATATCCATAACAATACTGATACTGTCTTAATATTTGGCAAAATTATTATATTTACATGTTTTCATAATAAGTTGCAGCTTTAAATGCAACTGCTGGAACTTATAAAAACGGTAGCTGGAGTTAAAAACTGGGTTTTGCAGACAACCAGTGGAAAAATGTTCAGCGGGCTTCCTCAAGAGCTGAGCTTGTCATGTTCTGAGATTTAAGACGTCTGAACAAAGTGAGTCACGATGTCTTTATATCCCGTTTGTATTTTTAGGAAGAATAAAGAGCGTAGCTAATTAGATGCAAGGTAAGGGAGTGGATGATCCAAAAAGAGAGAGAGAAAATAAATGAATAACGAAGGAAGGGAAATCTGTCACTTTGTGTCTGCTGCTAAAGGAGAAGAGACCCTGCTGAGGACTCAAAACTTTCAAGCTCATTTCCCAAATTGCACAATTCTTAAAAATATCCAGAGGTTCACATCTTCCTGACTTCCAGGTTCTCCAATGAAAGCAGATAATGATGTTCTGTGATTTGGCATCACGTCATCTGTTGTAGAAGATTTGGCAGCGTTGATGCTTTTTTTCCCTCATTTTTTTGGAGCACTTCTGCTCACTTTTTCCTCAGATTTAAAAACAAAACTCTTCCAACGATTTGCCATCTCTTTAGGCTAAGGTCCCACCCACTCACCAGGCCTCCTGTCAACCCGGCTGCATGTGCCAGGTCCAGGTTTCTCTAGATAATTAGATTGCCCTGGTGCCTGGTTCCTATGTTGACTCTACCAGAATAACTCTCCTTGCCAGCCCACCTCTGCTCTAATTCCCTTAAGTGTGTCCCTCCTCTGATTTTGTGTCCCCCATTCCACCTCCCTCCACATCAGTCTGCTAATGTGTTTGTGAGTATGACTTATCGCCATCATTCTGTCTGACTAACCGCCCCCTCACCATTCTTGAAAGTCAGCCATTTCCTGATGTCGTCAGCGGTGCAGAACACTGTCAAGCGCCACCGCAGTGACTGCATCTTGACTGACAGCCGAGTCGTATGCTATCTGATAACTTCAACCTTCAATTAAACCGTATCTATGGCTGGGCTGCTCTTCGAGCAAGCACATGCACATCGCCAGGCAGCTGACTGGCAGCTCCGCGTGTCATTTCCGCTGACCTTCAGGCGTCTGATCGCATGTGTCGCAGGTCTTTTGAACGCATGTCTTTTTCTGCTCTAGACCCCTGCTTGGTATTTATGTTTGTTGAAGCAGAACGCTGTAGTGAGCAGGAGGACTGGTCAGCTGCTGGATGCAAACACACACAATTGTGGAAGTCACCTCTGCTGTGCTGACTGTGTGAAACTGGACTCTGAGTTAACTGGTCAGCAGCACCGTCTGAACTCTAGAATGCCTTCAAGCTTGTGAGCGCAGAAGTAGCTGGTTCTCACAGTGAGGAGTGTAAAACCAGCAGCTTCTGATGTTTTCCCACATTCAGTGAGTTATGTCACTTGAGCTTGTTTAAATTACTAATGAAATCCCTTTAAGCCCCAGTCTCCCCTCTTGTGGCCCAACCGTCGTCTCTGAACTAAATAGCCTCGAGGACATCTGCATATTTTTTATAATTGGTTTGTATTACTTAGGGACAATAATCAGTGTTGGATTTTAAATCAGTTTTGTTCATTAAACAACAGACACAGTATCTGTCTGCTTTGTTGTTTCAGACAAAAGATTGTTAACTTTTGTTAGTCGTACAGCTTGAACAAAGATTTGATTCAACAGCTTTTGAACATGAACCTTACACATTTATTGATTCAATTCAAAAACACTTTCATTTAACCTGAAAGGAAATTAAATGTTGCCACCTGAGTATCTTAAAGTAGTTGTCGTAGATGCTGATGCTGTGGGCAGGAACGATTTCTGGTGATGAACATGAAGAAAATGATGGTTTGAAATCTCTCTGCATCCATTAAACTTCCCTTTCATCTCCTTTGGCATTTCTTTAAGATAACTTCTTAACTCTTCATTTTAACCACCTGGCTAACTTTTACTCATCTTCACTCAATATCCACACTGAAGAGTGTTGTGAGTGTGGCCTGGTGGTGTGGCGCATTTGCTGGCAGGAAACTGACCAGATTTTAAGTTTCCTAGGGCAGTTTAGGCTGAAAAGTGTCTGCTTCTGGTCTGCAGCTAATCTCAGAGTGCATCTTTAACAATTTGGCATCAGAACAGATGAAAACCTAAAGTGTGTGTGAAAAGGTAGTTATGGAGCACTTTGAATCGCCGTGCGGTGCTGTAGTGTTTCAAGTTTTGAGAATTCCAGACTTTTAATAGTTTGCAGAAAGAAAATCTCGACTCTGTTTCTCTGCAGTAAAACTGTGCGGACTTTCCTGGTCCATTTTCCCTGGA